AGGAAGCCTGTGCCGGTATTGTGAGAATCCGAAACGACAGGACAGTAAACTTCTTGTTCCAGCGATCGCATTCTCTTCTTCGTCTGAACTGCTTCCTAGAAGTCGCTTATTCGCTTCTTTTGGCAGTCTGTTTGGCCGCGACGCCCTCCGATCAGCTTGGAGGGGAAATCTTTGGCCTTCGCTAGTCGTCTGTATATGCACAGAAGCCTGGATTCTTGCAAAACGTTGGGAATATACGCTATACGCTAAAAGGTGGACCCCATTGTGTGATTTCAAATAGATTGAGCGTCGTATCATTTTAATGCGCCATACTTTCAAACCAGTTGGTCAACATACTTATTGAGCTATTTATTAATTTAGTGCATACCTATTCTTATACATACTCACAGCCTTTGAAATATTAGATTTGTTTGGATTGCATTCCGGGTATTCAAAAGAACGAACCCGAACTAGAAAAACGTTCGCAGTTCAGTGTTTTTGGGAGGTTCACATGCGTTACAGGTACTCTAAAGTATAAGTCAGGGGATTGGGACTACGATATCGAACTGATTATTATCCAATCAAATTGTTTAAGATTCTGACAGGTGTTCATCGGTTAGATGGTGTGCAGTCATCCTGGAATAGATGCAATTGCAGTGCCTGGGGGCAGGGAACAGAAATAAGGTCATATTAAAGAAGACCAGTCAGAGAACAGCGTAATTAAGGCTAGGGGTTCTATTCCTTTTCTCTGTTGAGGTACTAATTCAGTCGCGAAACCTTTCAGCCTTCGATTCCCAAATCTGAGCTCGTCTGGTGATTACTTTGAGACGAATCTGTGGTTCGTCGGTTAAAATAATTTTACACCATTTATGAGGCCACCGATGAAACTTTCCATTCGGTCAAGGAAGTTTTAAAATTTTCCCTATCTGTAAAATATATCTTTTCAAACTCATTTTTCCAATACATACCGACGTTCAAAATATACGTTCACTCCGCAAAATAAAAACAGTTGTGATTAATATGCAACACACGCATCTTAGTAACTTCTTGTGCATTCGCATCGTTGTTACTTTTGACAACCGCCACGTGGAGTCAGTTGATAATCACTTCCTGATTATCCTTTCATTCAATGTATAACACTGGTTCGATCACCTGCACCCGATCCCTCATCCGGTCCACTTGACTCAGTCATAACAGTGGCAATGGACGGGCGAGAGAATAGAAAGTGTGATAGATGCAGCGCAAGTCCCCTATCACTAACACGTGCAAATCATCGTGTTTGCCTTTAACTTTCTGCAGTACGCTGTAGAAATCGTTGGAATCAACGATCTAACTCTCGTGTATATAACAGTAGCTCCGCTTTACCTCCAATATTCGCCTATCTAATGCAAAGCATAAACTCCTTAGCTTGGATAGCATCTATATTTAATCCCCGCCAACGCCCTGCAACCGCTACCTTCTAATGTGAAGCACGTGTGTACTTTGGCGACCATTGGACGATCCGAACAGACAAAATGAAAATCTGTCTTTGCAAACCATGTAAACAGGTTGCTTAGGAGATCCCCTCCGAGTATCTGCGTCTGGGACCGTGAATTATTGCTTTCCTGGATAA